CGTGAAAGAAGCCAGCAGCCAGCTTCTCGTTCCATTTGGAGGGAGGGTCGCACGCGGACCGGCGGAAATCGCCAGACGTTGGGTCATGAGGCCAAAAGACCCACTGCCACGGCAGGAGACTTCTGGAGTAAGTTACCGAGTCTGGTGCAGTTGCGGGAGAAGCACCCTAATGAGCCGGCGGAAAGACCATGGCTCGCGGGCTGCAGCTTACTAGACGGGAACCGGTCGTATTTTCGGGTTTACCGAGGTCAAAATCCTCACAGATGACAATCGCGTGGGCCGCGAACTGATCCAGTCATGGTTATCGCAGGCCCGCAGTCTATCAACAAACACGATAACCTGCCATCTCCATATTCTCTACCTTGACTTTGCCTGAACATCGGAATCAGTCACGTTGGCAGGGCGCGGGCGACCAACCACTTCGGTGAGAGCTAGTTAAATGGTCACATGACTATCACGCCAACATCCAACACGGAGGATAAAAAATTGCGGCAACTAACGACGCTGACGTGGACTGTCGCATCAATTACGACCCCAGTGTTAATAAGGAGCATTTGAACTTGTTGCGACTGCGATCATGACTGATCTAGCCGGCCTCGATTATGTCATAGGCGATACCTCTCCATGGCGGCAGCGGATCTGGACAGTTCGAGCTATTCTCTTCGCCAACGCCGGAGAACGAATACCGAAAGTTCAAGAACCCCTTCAATGTCCTGACGGACTGACTCGAACCAGGTTTTGAGTTGACCTCCATTTCGACGTTTCCAATTAGGTAACGGTTTAAGGTCGAGAGCAGTAACACTGACCTCGTGAGGTTGACAGCGGAGAGCGTATCCAAACTACCTCAGTCGTCTTACGTGGATTGCCTGGGATATACTTGCGATGTTGTCGCAGCGAGTGCGAACTGTCCCATTTGAGATGAAGTCGGTTTACTTCACTCGAAGGATGGTCCTTAAGCAGTAGTGGTCGAAGACTTCCAGTTTCCGTTCATTTTCCACGCGCATAGCCCAGCGTTCGCATCCGTAAAGAAGAACAGACCGTACAGAAGCACGACACACGGGGACCTTTATTGAGATAGGAAGGTTGGAGAAAAATCGTCGAGCTGCATCAACTCGGGTGAAAATGTCATCCTTATTTGGCATTAACCTCGCTCCGAAGTAGTTGAAACTGTCTACTTCTTCAAGTTGACAGCCACTAATCTCGAGAGCTGCCTTCTCTTGGGCAGGGATGCAGCATGAAAACACTTTGGTCTTCCCAGCTTTTATGGACAGACTGACCGATTTCGCGATCTTTTTCACCATAGACTGTAGATCTCCAAAGCTTGAAGCTAGAAAGGCGATATCATCGGCATAGTCGAGCTCAGTCAACCGACGTCCGGGAGCAAGCTCAATACCGTCATTTTCCTGTAGGGCTTTTCCGAGAACCCAGTCAATGAAGTACTTAAAGAGGATGAGCGACAGGGCACAGCCTTTTCGAACGCCAGACCGAATAGCGAAGATTTCTGAGAAGTTATTGTGGGCCAGAACCTGCGCAGTGGTGGAGCGGTAGCACGCCTTGATCATGGCGATTATTTTTGGTGGTAAACCGCTTAATGTCATCATCCGCCATAGGGAGTCACGGTGAATGGAAGGCACCCAACTCACCCCCGCGAACCTTTAACTCAAGCCGGTCGAGTACTCGGCTTTTCTCCGTCTTCCAACTACAACCAGTTTGGACTCAAGAGAGGACTCCTGGCCCAACAAGGCTTACAACACCCACGGATGGTGAAATTACGGCAATTAACGACC